AAGAATTTAAGATTTGTTAGATATCCATTAGTGGAAATTTTATTAAAAAATTCTAAATATTTATCTTTAAAAATGCCTCCAAAAGACACGTTAATTAAAAACTTGATAAGATGAGCTGAGCAATACTTTATCTAATTAAAAATTATTTCAGATGCACTTATCTAAAGAAAAAGTGTAGTAGTAGTAGTGAGCAATTATCTGAGATTCCAAGTGGCAGTTGTAAAAAGAGACACGCAAATACCCACAGTTTCCCTGAGCGTGGCCACCTCAATAATATTTCTGTGATTCATTTTTCATCTTTTGCTGTTTTTTAGGCAATTGCTGTATAAGTACAAGACTTGCCACTTATATATATATATATATATATAGTAAATGCTTTCCAACAGATTATCCATCGGCTTATATATTGGGCCTACATCACCATTTTAGCTATCGCAATATCCATAATTGATGGATAGATATGGGAGGTGAGCATTTGTCAGAACGAAACTGACACAAAATTCAACAGAAAAATGATTTTTCCAGTCCCATTCAACCATTCAACCCTACCCTTAATTAGTATGACAAATAATTACCAGAAGTATGACACTATGCATTAGGAGTTGGAACTCGAAAATGGAACTTACCCCAAAATGATATACTTCTGTTTTAATTTAGACGATTTGATAGCATAAATTTTTATTTATATCGGTATACAGAAGTTGAACTCTTTATTAAATATTAGCTCAGAGATGCTTTGAAGCATGACGAGTAACGACCACCCATTTCAGTGGATTGTTTCCCTTGTTCAATGCAGGGCCTTGAGTTCTCGTGATTCAATGGTGGAGTATTTGTTTCTTTATATGCGAACCTATTAATATTTCGGACATTCGGTGATGACCATTCGAGAAAATTTTACAATTCAAAGGAAAAACGACAATTGTTTTATTAATTTCATGGAACCGTGTATAACATGCTGCCTGGCAGTTTTTAATGAGTGGATTTAATGGATATTTCGACCATTCCGTGATGCGCATTCGAGAAAATTACATAAATGGTCATATAACTAACCTCATTTGGACCGGAAATAATATAATTGTCCATAAAACAAATCATTGTTGTGTTTTCAGTCCCGTTGAATAAAATACAAACGAAATGACTTAACTATGTTTTCTCATACAAAAATCATAAAACTTCTATTAACTCACACAAAAATCATAATAACTGAAAATATAACTTTTCAGTAGTATTTTCTTATTCCATAATTTTTTAGTTTTTGTTTTCAGTCTAAAATAATAATTCAATTAAAATAGGAATGACTCAACCCGACCTGACCCACCCGACCCAATAGCCATATATATAAATTAAAATAATACTAAAAGTAAATCTTTCAAAATACGATACTTCTATCTTTTATTTTTCTTTTCAAGATATTCATTTTTGTTTTAAGTTCTCTCTAATTATACCTTTTATTTCTTTCTTTTTTTTGTCAGTCTCATGCATTTCAAACTAAGTATTTTCTGAGGAAAGAATTCACTTTTAGTATTATTTTAATTTATGCAAATGGTATTGTGTCAGGTTGGGTTGGATCATTCCTATTTTAAAGGGAAAATATAAAATTGATCGGTCAGCCGAAACTAATTGCATTCACTAGCCAAAAAGATATAGAATATTTATATACACATAATATATAAGAATATATATTTTATCGGCTATTATATTAAAAATATATTTTTTTTCTATTTTAATTGGGTTATTATTTATTAGATTGAAATTAAAAAATAAAAGAACCTGGAATAAGAAAATACTATTAGAAAATTGTGTTTTCTGGTTACTATGATTTTTGTGTGAGTTAATGAATTTTTTATGATTTTTGTGTGAGAAACAAAGTGATATGATGAAAAAGAGTCATCATTTGTGAAATTTACCCGAAAATTTCACAATTTAAAGGGGAAACGACAAGTGTATTACTTTCTGTCCAGTTTCTTCTTGCATTCATTTCATTGAACTACAGAACATGCTTCCTGACAGTTTTTAATGATTGGGATTCAGCTTGTCATCGCAGGTTATTTGTTTTATTTTAAAGGTAATTTAAATGTTTACTTTGTCACAAAATGTTCACTTATTATAGGCCGTAGTTATACCTGATCTATAAATATTCTTGTTAAGCTGTGTTTAAGTATACTTAATTTTTTTATTTTTTGGCTGGTAGGGAGCACTGCTTCTCACATTCACAGCAGCAATTGATACATTGAGACCTCAAAGATGCGGTTATGGTTGGGGCGAGTGCAGAAATGCATCAACGTCCCAACTTACATTCTTATATGCAGCTCTAGCGCTAGCATATTTGGGGAATGGGGGTACACGTTTCACTATTGGATCAATGGGAGCAAACCAATTCCAGAAGCCAAAGCATCAAGCAATTTTCTTCAACTGGTATACTTTCGCACTCTACACATCCAATGTCATTGGCAGCACAGTCCTTTTATACATTGAGGACAATGTTAGTTGGGTATTGGGGTTCGCCATTTGTGTCGCATTCAACATTCTTGGCTTGACTATTTTCTTGTCTGGCCAACGTTTGTATCGCCATATTGAGACACAACATGAAAGCCCCTTCGTCAGTTTGGCTCAGGTCGTCGTCGCTGCCATTAGGAAGAAATCGTTCTCTTTAGGAGGTGAAGATTATTACCATGGCACGAAATCGCAGGGCAGTGCTACAAGAACCGACTTCCCAAAACCTTCCAAATTCTTCAGGTAAGAACACTCTTCCCAAACATATGGTTCAAAGTATATCGAGTAGTAGCACGGGTGGATCGGAGCATGATCTTATAGGGGTTCAATTTGATCCCTATCGTTAATTAGAACATTATAATGTAGGAATAGGTTCAGTTGAACCCCTGACATAAAGATAGGTTTGTAGGATTTTAAGTTGTAGGTTTGAATCTCAGTCGGCATATTTTTGAATCCGATTTTAAGAAATCCTGGTTCCGCTACTAAGTGGTAGTCAAGTACATAATCAAAATTTATTGTCCTGGCCCTTAAGATTCAAGTGAAATGATTTTCAAACGAGAAGCGGATTGAATTTGCTAATTTTATGTTTTAATAGGTTCCTGAACCGGGCGGCTTTGGTCACGGAAGGAGATAAGAAACAGGACGGCCTCATTGCTGAGCCTTGGAAACTATGTACAGTGCAACAAGTGGAAGATCTCAAAATATTGATAAAGCTTTTCCCACTATGGACTACTGGTTTGTTTCTGTACACCCCACTAGTCATACAAGCCAGTTTAGCAATCCTTCAAGCTCTAAAAATGGACCGAAGTTTCGGATCCCATTTCAAAATCCCAGCTGGTTCTGTTGTTGTCTTTACATTGATCTCCACATGCATAACCATTACCTTCACGGACCGAGTCCTATTCCCTTTGTTGAATAGATGCATTCGTAGCTCTCTAACACCACTTCGACGGGTTGGGATAGGCCATTTGCTAACGGTCGTTAGCATGGCCTTATCTGCCCTGGTCGAGTCAAAGAGGATAAAAATAGTGAAATCTCACCATCAAAACAATGTTGTAGCTCCAATGTCCGTATTCTGGTTGGCGCCACAGCTAGCAATTACAGGCATCGGGCTAGCTTTTCATTCTCCAGGATATGCGGGATTTTATTACCAAGAATTTCCATCGTCCCTGAAAAGCACGTCTACGGCGGTCGTGGCGGTTTTTGTGGGCGCAGCATTTTATTTAGGGAACGGGGTGATGGACTTGGTTCAAAGCGTGACAGGATGGTTGCCGGAGAATATTGATAATGGTAGGTTGGATAATGTTTTCTGGGTGGTATGTGTTTTAGGGGCTGCGAATTCTGTGTATTACCTAGTATGTGCTTCATTGTACAAGTATAAAAATGTTGACCAGGAAGTAAATGATTCTATTGACAAAATAGATAGCAATTAGCACAAATGAAGTAGGCCTGGATTCATGTAAAATTGTCATGACCCTTTAAAGTATAAAACAATCACTTGTTGCATTTGTATCGGTTTAATTTGTGGTATCAATATATAAGCGAGGAGCATAACAGAGTAATTAGAAAACAGAAAGGTTAAAATAATGTGCATATATAAAGGGTTGCTTTTTATCCACGGTGTTGTACCTAGTTTAACTTGTCGAGGTTTGAGAAAGTGTCATAATATGAAACTATCCATCTCCACGGGTTGAAAACTTCAATTTGCTTGTGGTTTCTCATGCTAAGCTTGTATTGGAATTCCTTTATTTAAAAGAGAAAATGTGATTTGGGTAAGTGAGACAAAGTAATATAAAGCACATGTTATACATTTAGTGATTTAATGTGAATATCAAGCTCCATTAGGAATGCAGATGTGTGTTATACTTCACGGTTTCTTCTATCATTTCTTTCAATTAAAAAAATTATCATTATTAAGCATGAAATAAGTCAGCTTAAATACACGAGCAGAAAAAAATTACCAAATGGAGACCGCTAGACAAATCAATAAGGTAAAATGTCGATTCTAAGTGGTAGCTGTTTGTGATGCCTTTTTCAGATTGTTTTCTTTTTTGAAGATGACAATACCATTGTAGCTGTCGCGCGTCATTTTCTAGTGATTAATTTGGTTTAAATAACCAAAGGACCAGCAGGTGAAGGCAATTTAAACTTGAGGAACGATCAAATAGTTAAAAACCATGCTTTTCCAGTTGGAAATACGAGTATCTTTTGGTCTGATATACTATATATGAAACAGGTAAATTACCTATCAACAAATGAGATGACAGGCTTTTCATCTTGCTTAGAAAAATACCATTCAGTTACACTAATAAAGGTTGATCCTTTTCTTTTTCTTCTTCCCTGGAAAAAATTCTTGATTCCCTGAAAATTCTTGTAAATAATATTTCTTTATTCTTTTCTAAACATAAAAAATAAAAATAAAAAACCTAATTTTTGTGCGATTTTAAATACTTAAATTTCATTTAAAATAAATAGTAGAGTAACGATTTCTAATTTAAACACAAAAGTTATCGAAATTACTTTATATGAACGTAACAAAGACAAAAGAGCCAACTAAATGAACAGGGTGGCCTATAAAATCAGTGACCTGGGGTCTAGCAGTCTAGCATAAAGTTGCTTACTTATAAAAACTTGAAACTCCATATCCAAAAAGAAGAAATATCACTGCTATTAAATTGACTAATTTGAATGGATAATTCAGCCAGTTCTGATGATGAAAGAGCAAGACTCTCCTCTTCAGACAGCCGCAAAAATGGTGGCTGGATAACCTTCCCCTTTATGATAGGTCGGTTTCTTTTTTTGGTCTTTCTTGACACTTTACTGTTAGTTGTTAGATGCATTTTGGTCCTGTGTAACAAAGATCGGATACTAATTTTTGTATTTTAACAAATTTTGAATGTGTTAATTCCCAAAATTAAGCAGGAACAATGGCTTGCTTGACAGTAGCTGCAGGAGGATGGGTTAGCAACCTGATTGTTTATCTGATACAAGAATTCAACATGAAGAGCATCCCCGCTGCTAAAGTGTATAATGTGGCGAATGGCTGCATCACCATTTTCCCCATTCTCGCAGGAATCATTGCTGACTCCTTTCTTGGTTGTTTTTCTGTCATTTGGATTTCTTCCCTTATCTCTGCTCTGGTAAAACTAATTCCTTTTCATTAGATTCCATCTTCTTGCCGTCCAAATCTTATTAAAAATACACACACACACACAAAAAGTCCAACTTCTATACACAGATAGTATAAGAACCTTTACACTATCGTCAATAAAAAGCGTTACCAGCTACTACGGGTTAAACTATATGCTTAGAGTAAATTTCTTTGCAATTGCAGGGTATATTGCTTCTAGTATTTGACACACCCCTTTTTTTTAACCAACCTAACCCTCTTAACAAAAAAGATTTGTAAAGCTCAAAATGGTTTTTAATTAAAAAGTGACAAAATTGTGTTCAAAAGGAAATAACTCGGAGTCACCACCTTACTTTGATTTCGGTGTGCCAAGTCACCGTTTTTAAAAAAAAATAATTTTTCCTTTTTTAAACATTTTAGACTCTAAAACCAAGTCCATACCAGAGATTCAGGTAAGGGGGTTCATTTGACTCGGGGAGAAGGTGCTAGGCACTCCCCAAGTCCCTAACTAGTACGGATACTTGATCTAGTCGGCACTTAAAATATTCGAATTGAGGTAGAAAATACAGAAAAAGGAAAATAAACACACAGGAGGCTCGAGGTCGTTCCCACCTAAATAGATGAAAATGAATATAAAAATAAAAATAAAAATACTACGAGTTCTACTTTCGGTCTCTAAATACAAGATACTACGGGGCATACCCCGGAATAAAATATATACAAATATTTCGGGGCATTCCCCGGATAAATTTAGCTAAGGGAACGACCTCTCATCTCAAAGCTAACAAAATCCTAAGGCTTGCCTACCCAAGTATGGTCGGCCTAAAACATGTTCCTAACGAATAATGTAATAAAAGTAAAATAAATAAAACTAAAAGAAATAAAAATTAATTTCATGCTCACTTTCTTTTAACTTCTTATTTCTTGCACTTGACCAGGGCCGGAACTAAAACATGAGAACCAATTAATTGCTAATGGCCCTCGGTCTTTCCCATTCCCACAACCCGACAATCATTCAAATAACTCTAAATTCAACCAGAAGCCAATCAATGAAACAAAACAACGGATGAACAGTCCAGTACTTTAAAAACTGAACGATACTAGAATATTAGTAAAATAAAAAACATGTGAATTAAAGCCATTAGGAAGAGCTAACTAAAGATTTTGCCACTAACCAGAACTTAGCATAAAAGCCAAATGCCGCACCATGTTTATATATCTCATACCCCAATCTCACAAGTCAAATTCCAACCCAATATGCCAAATCATAACTATGCGAAACCAATGCCTATCTAATGACTTAATTAACACATGAGGGCAATTAAAAGATCATGAGACACAGGAGCATCAGACAAATAATGGGAATGCGCAATCAACCCACAAAAGCTTATAAAGGTGTTTTGCACCAAATTCAAGAGCTAAAAAGGGTACGAGAAACACACAATATATGGCATGTGAATTGTTAAACAAATTAACTCAACTTCATTAGCTAATTCTAGTTCAACTAAATGCTCTTTTCTTTTTTAAAAAAAAATTCCCAAGGTCATCACATTAAGTAACCCATAATCAAATTGAGCTTACAAATGTTGTCGAACAGTCAATCATGCTTAGAGCTCCATAGAAACAGACAAGAAAAGTTTGATAGGCAAGAATTTGTCCATAAGCTAAACCCCAGTAGAAAGAACAAGAAAAAATCCAATTAAACTAAAATATACACTGAAAACTTACTTTAATATTTTTACTTTTCAACATCCCATTTTGAGAGAGAATTAAGTTAATCCATTAATATAATAACAAAATCCCTTCAGATCTTCAATTCTTCCTTAGTAAGAAAAGATTAAATATCCTAACGTCAAAGACAGGAAAATAACAGTGCATATTATAACTCTTAAAGATCCAGCCTAGGGTTCTATACTATTCAATACATGAAAATCAACGAACCAAAATGTATCACGTCGATTCCAGAAATACTCAAACAAATATGCTTCATCTTAAAACCCCAAATGAACAGTTTAAATTAAATAACTAAATACAAAGTTAACCTTCCTGAATGGCTCTTCCCATGCTTAATTCACCACAAAAGCAGTGAGCAAATAGAATGAGAAAAGAGATAACCTGAAAATGCGAAACTCTTCAATTAAGTTCGTTTGGAATTGAAGACAATGAATCCGGCAATGAGTATTTGAAATAAACAACGTCAGATAAACAGGAACCGAACCAGCAACCAAAAACTCGAACGGCAAATCCGATTTCGGCTCAATCGATCTCCATGTTGAAACCAAAATTACAAAAAACAAACGGAGCAGTTTTCTCTTCTTTTTTTTTTTTGAATTTTCAGATTTTAAAGTAAATTGAGGACATGAAAGAACTGAATTTTATATATATATATATATATCTTATCTGTGGAATCGAAAAGAAAACCGACAAAAAAAACTAAGAACAAACTCTAATCCTCTTATCTCCAAGACCGTCCCCCCTTTTCAATGGAGAAGAAGGGGTATATATTTAATTTTGTTGGAGGTAAAGTTGTATATCTCCCCGTTCCTCCTCCATTCTTTTGCCTAAAAATAATGTTCAACTTTTCCTATTGTGTCCCACTCCCTCTCTCTCTTCCCCAAAATTCTCTCCTCTTCTTGAAATGATNTCTCTTCTTAAAGTGATGTCCCCACTCAAACTTTTCTCCTAAAAATCCTCTCTTTCACTCAATGATATCCCCACTTTCTCTCTCTTGATTTTTATGTACGTGAGGCTAGACTAATTGTGTGTGTGTGCAGATTGTGAGAGGAATCTTAAACTTACTTGGTAAAAGAAAGAAAAAGAATCTTAAGAATAAAATAGGGGAAGGTCACACCTGAATATGAGTGAGAATGGAAAAATGAGACAACTACCAACTTCATTTGTTTCCTTTCACTTTGCCTTTCACGTCATTTTCTTTCCGTTTTTCCTTTCTTTTTGATTTTTTTATCTTTTAATCTAAAAATAATTAAAAATAGCTTTATAAAGATACTAGTATATTTGAGATAATATAAAATATTAAGAGGAGACATATAGTTACTATTGTGAGCAGCTTATTTTTTATCATGTTTGAATTTATTCCTACTTTTCTCTACTCACTACCCACTTTCCCCACTTTCTCCACTCACTACCCACTTTCCCCATTTTCCCCACTCATGTTCTCCACTCTCCCCATTTTTCCCACTTTCTCCACTCACTACCCACTTTCCCCACTTTCTCCACTCACTACCTACTTTCCCCATTTTCCCCACTCTCCTCACTTTCCCCACTTTCTCCACTCACTACCCACTTTCCTCACTTTCCCCACTTTCTCCACTCACTACCCACTTTCCCCATTTTCTCCACTCATGTTCCCACTCTCCCCACTTTCCCCACTCATGTTCCCCACTCTCCCCAAAAAATATTTCCTCCACCCACTCTTCATCATTCTCTCTACCTATAACACACACATCAAGACCTCACCTTAAAAAAAATTATATATAGAAAAGGACGCATTTTACAAGAGAGCTCTCTTCTTCTTCTTGGATTTTTTCTCCAAGCAACAGACAAATACAACAGATCTCATCCTTTCTTTTCAAGAAAAACGGCCGCACACACTCATTTTACCACGGAAGCTTCTCTGAAAATGCACACCTGAATTCACACCCAACATTTGAGAGACTCGCTTTGAAAGTTCTTCACACTCAAAAGAGCTGAAAGCAAAGGCTTCAAAATTTAAAATTTTTAGCTGGATTCGGGTAAAAGTTTGTTGCTCTGTTGCTACTATTGAAATTGCTTCTTGAGCTCCTCATGTGATTTGGATTCTGCTTTTCTTTGGCTTATCTCTTGGTGTCCACTTAACTCTGTTAGGTCAGTCCCAAATCCTTTGTATTATGTTTTGTTGAATGACTATATAAAGTTATTGAATTCCTTTTAGATTTTTGAATTTGCCCAAAAATACGATTTCTGCTATTCTAGTGTGTCATGGATGAATGTTTGGTTTCCATTTGAATAAAGTAGTGTAATGAATCGAAAATGTTAAACTTTAGATTAAATGTTGACGAAGTAAATGCTGTAAAGATTTTGGAATCTGTTATTTGCTTTGGGAGTCTTTACTCATTTTCTTTAATTTCCACTTCTTGTCATCGAGGAAGAGAGTAAAATCCAAGCAAATTTGCTCTTAAATCGAGGATCTGATGGCCAGCAATGGTTATCTTTTAATAGCAAACAAGCCGTAAATTATATTCTATACTCCATTTTCAGAAATAAGATAAGCGACATCATGAGGTATATAGTTTTTTTTTAGTAGCAAAAATATAAAGATATATAGTATCACATGTTTCAACTCGTAGGCATAATGATTCCTCAATAGTTATTAATGAGTTGTTTGTGCACTCCAGCTTTTACAACCACAATCTACTTTATTTATTTGATTAGTTTAACATCAAAATTTGCCCCCCCCCCTATCCTCTCTGCCTCACGTTTTCTGGTTCTTGGACTTTTTGCCTCCTGATTTATCCAATCTTTTTTTTACTAGTCTATGTATTTTCATGACTTGTACATTAAGTTACATAAGTCGAGCAAATTTAAATATATATATCTTCCTTTTTTACAAAAACTTTTGAAGTATGTATATGTTCGTGTATGTATAAAAGAGATAGAAAACGCTAGCTAAAAAAAAGAAATTGGTTTGAACTTTCGTAGTTTACTTTAGGTGCATTAATTGAATAATTGTCATAGCTACGGGTACGGTTCCCGTAACGTAGTTTGTGACACCTAGTTACTAAAATCTGGGGATACAGTTTTGTGACCCAGCCACAATTTAATCTTTTTTTAAAAAAATTAAACATGTTGTAGATCGTGAGTACGGTTCTCGTGACATAATTCGCAATATGTAACAATAATTAAATAAAAGCGGTTTTAAGGTAAAAATGCACAATAGTTTAAAACATGTATTAAAATCAGATAATATGCTAGTTATAATAGTTTAAGTGACCGTGCTAGAACCACGAAATCCGGGGATGCCTAACACCTTCCCCCGGGTTAACAGAGTTCCTTATTCAGAATTTTTGGTTCGCAGACTTCAAAAAGGAAAGTCAAAATTTTCGTCGATTTGGGATTTAAAATAAATCGGTGACTTGGGACACCAAATAAACTATCCCAAGTGGCGACTCTGAACAAAATTGAATAAATTAATCTCATTTCGAATAATGTCACTTTAATTGGAAAAACTTCCTTTTACTACCTTCGGGTGTGTAAAAAGGAGGTGTGACAGCTTTGGCAACTCTGCTGGGAAGAATCGTGCCCAGAATCTCTGGTTCAGGGTTCAAGAATTCGAGCTTAGAATAACTGTTATAGTTGGCTTGTTTTATTTGATTTTTACATGTTGAGCCTAATGTGCTAAATGTCGCTTTTACCGCTTTGATATTGTTTGGACTGTATATAAATTGCTACGAAACCCTCCTCTCTCTGAGTCTTCTAAATCATCTGGGAAGTGTGCACTTCGTGTGACTTCTTTTCTGTTAGAGTCTTATCCCAATTTTAGAACGAGGTTTGGACAAGTTGCAAAGCCGGTGAAGCTTCTGTATTCCCAGTACGCTGCCCCCCCTCGGCTCGAGCTGTCCGCTCGGGTAAGCCAGGTCTAGAACAATAAACTCAGGTTTTTAAACCTAGTATAACAAGCCTCATGTCGGATCCCTAGTAGGAACGTTTGTTTGCAT